GTATGTATTTACGTTGTATGTGTGTGTGTGTATGTATGTATTTATATAGAGGGTGAATAATGACTGGAACAGGATGCTAGAAAGAGTGATTGAGGCCAAGGCACTGGAATCATTTAAGAAACAGTTTTGATGCTGTAATGATTGCACAGGAGGTTGGGCATTCTGGAAGAGTGAGATCAAATGGACCGAAAGGCCTTCGATGCCTGCAAACCTTTGTGATCTTGTGAAATGAACGAATGGCTGAAAATACACTCCTCTATTCTGGATGTAATTTAAAAAACGCACCGAAATAAAAACAAAAGTTTATGTGACCATTTGGATCATAATTGGCAGAAGTCACTCGCTGCTTCACAGTGCCTTGGTTTCAGTGCTTGGTTTCCCTCTGCTTTTCAGATAATTCAGTGACATCAACAATTTGGAATATTGCTTTGGATTAAACCAAGAGAGACGGGAAGAATTAAAATAGCAAAAAGAACACGTTTTAAAACGGATACTACGAACGCTTAGGACAATCTGTCAGATAGAGTCGAGGTTGCAGAAGTAGTAGAAACATTGAAGAATAAATTAGATGCAGTGTGAGGAAGATAAAGCAGTGAAGCAGTAAGCATCTGTCGGCTGAATGGCCTTTGCTCAGCCTTGACATCACAAATGCTCTCTTACTTTCTGAACCTTTATAGACTGCAGAAAGTTGCAGTTCTCTGAGCTAAATCGAGTTCCAGCGTTAATTAAGTGCCTTAATTGGAGTTCTCAACCTACATTTCAGCATCTGAGTCAAAGCGTTACCCCGGTTTCTCCTGATGTCCTGCCTAAAAATCCTCCAGCTTAACAAAAATTGGTTGTTCACTTCGTGGCAGGTTGTGGGACATTGCTATGTGCAAATTGGCTGCCTCATTTGCCTACAAAATGCACAATCAACAGAAAACTGTTAAGTACTTTCAAACACTTTTGAAGTGATGAGGTAGGATATTACATGCAAGAATTGTTATTTATATTATACAAATATCTTATAATTGCAGTTGTTGATAATGATGCTGAGTGAAATTACGCCATTTATTTTCCACTTTGTCACAATCCATGCATAATTTTTTTACAGAAAGAACGGAAGAAAATTGGTCCCAGCGATAAATTTGCCCAACAGCTGCTAATAAACCCGAGTTATCCATTTTCCAATGAGATACAGCAGTTGTCAATTTCAGGCTGGTCTCATAATGTAAAAAAATCAACCAACCAGTTATCTCTGTGTACTCAGGTTGATTTTGTTAGAGGGCCATCAACAAATAGATTACTGTAATAAAAGTTTATTTAAGTCCGTCAATTTTCAAGGAGGGGAAACAGGCTTCCAGAATAAATGCCTCCATCTGTTCTCCTGGCTTCACCCTGGGTCAATTTAGATGCCAGATTACTCCTCTCTCCTTGCAGGACTATTTAAACTCATCAAAGATAAGCCTATATGTGGTCAGTACTCTCAGGTCCTTTTTTTTTAAAAAAATTGCTTTTTGGGTAAAAAATAAATTGAACTTGGCCCGCTCTTCAGACCTGTAAATAAAGTTATGAATAGGCTTGAAAATGTTTCGATTGCAATTAACTATTCAATTTAAACGATGACAGCTTGCATTTATATAGCGTGCCCTTCAATGGCTCGAAGTGCCTTACAGTGGTGGGGTTGGATGCTGACCAAGGTAGAGGGGGGAGCAGAGGTGCCGTAGTCATGGTAGAAGAGTTAACAACAACAACTTGGATTTATATAGCGTCCTCCACGCCGGACGGCGTCTTAGAGCACTTCACATTCTTAAGGTGGGATTTAAAGATAGATAAAGAGGAGCTGAGGCAGACAGATAGAGGCAGGGAGTTCCTGAGGTTAGTCGTGTAGTGACCGAAGGCTCAGCCACCGAGATGGGGCTGGGGGTGGGTGGGGGAGAGAACGTGCAAAGCAAAACCCCCAAAAAAAACTGCTGCGTGATTTTAAACGGCGCATTTCAGCAATAAAACTTATTTCATTTGATGGATCTCCAGCTCAAAAGGTCCATATGGCGATTGGCTTTAAAGGAATACCTTGTGATAGAGCTTGTTCAGGCAATACAGGACCAAAGTACAGTACAAATAGAATATTAAGCGAATGTGGGATGAGTAAATCAATCGCACATTTTTTCTTTGGGCATAATAAATCGCCTACTTATTATTCATTTAAAAAGGCTCTGAAAATTGTCTTTTCTTTTTGCGAGACTGCATTGGTTCTGTGTGCCAGCGTTTTTAGTTAAAATTAGAGGAGATCAAAAGGCAGACACCACTGCTGAGCTAAGTAGTTTTCGAAATTCACATTTAAAAAGAGTAAACCAGGCAAGTAAAATTGTGTGTGAGTTTGTGTGTATGTGTGTGTGTGTGTATATATATATACATAATGTCCTTGGAGACCTGATTTAAATCTTACCTGAACAGATGGGCTGAAGGTAGTTTGTCTTTGGTGGATTTTAAGAAAGCAAGGAAAGGGAATATTTTATTAGTTCTATGTGTATGTGTGTGCGTGCAGACAAGCTATTCCATTATTGCAGGTGAGGGATAATGTGGGAGAGTACATTAAATGTAAAACTTGCCAATACCGCCACTCAGTCTGCATTGATATTGATGGGTTTTTATATATAGACCGCAAAACAAAGTTATAGTTAATGAAAAACAAGGAGTGAAAGGAGCCGAAATGCTGCCTTGATGGGTACGAGTGAAAACATTTAACAGATAAAACCAGTCATAAGTCGCTTGCTGAACCTTTACCCACCCGCCAAACCCCCAGCCCCCCAAAAAGAGTCTAATGTTCAGCTTACAGCAGATCAACATCAAAAATGTTCTCTTCCCACGCAGCCTCTACCCAGTTTCTCAGATTACTTTCTAAGCACTGTCGGAAGCTGGATCTCACTTGCCCGTCTTAAACATTTCCTGCTGCTAATCTGTACAGGTGGAGGCACATTACACTCTATCTCCTGAGAGTCAAACTGAATCGTTTACATTTGAAATCCCATATGTAGATGGATTTCCCATCGTCCCAGGAGGTTCTGATATTGTCTGCACTTAAAGTCAGTGTAACAACACCGATGGAATACTGCAGTGCTGTCTGCTAGGCTGCGGGGAAAACTCATCCCTTACAGCTGAACTCAGCAACACATTCGACAGCTCTGCAATCCAGTAGAAGTGAGTCAGAGTAGCTGAGTCAATGCCAGATCCTTTGGTCTACAGGATCAGTGGTGATGAAGCTCTTCTGTCCAAATGATAACCAAAGTTGCTAAAAGACCACAGGATTAATTCAGATGAAGAGGTCTCTTTGGCCCTTCTAATCTCATCTCTCCTGAGTCCCTACCCCATCGTACTCCATCAAGTTTAATGCATCAAGTTTAATAATGATGATCTTTGCTTTCCATACAGTGCCAACAACACTGAAATAACTCAAATTGCTTCACAGGTGAATTGCTGGCTGTATAAAGTATAAAGTATTTGTGGACAAACATGGCAGCCCGCTTCCAGATCCGTAGTCCTTCAGATTAATTGGTCGTTCACATCGTGGCTGATTTGTGGGACATTGCTAGTGTGCAAACAGGCTCCAACTAATACACAGTTGCTTTACCATTCCCTGTGAAGCTTCTTGAAATGGTTCGAAGTTGAGTCCTTATATCAAATACAAGGGTCTGGTAGACTTTAATGGTCACATGCTTCATAGTGAACCCGGCTAATTTGATTTAGATGCTGGTTGTTCTTGTATTGGGAGCTTGAGTGCCTTGGGAAGCAGAGTAAGATTACCCCAAACTCATTTCAGCAGTGACCCTCAACATCTGATGGTGGCTTTTGTGCTGGTTCCCAAGATCTCCTGCTGTGAAAATCAAAGCTGTCTCAGTACAAATTGCCCTGTTTACAATTTCACTTTGGAAAATAATGGAAAACCTACAGAGAGAGTGTGGTTTCTGGGGAACATGATTCTAAATTTATAGTGTTCTCAACCACTTAACAAATAACCAGGCCAATTTTCTCATGGGCTATGTGTTTTCTATCTTTTAGCACCAGGCAGTAAGTGGTACTGCTAGGATGTCATGTTAAGCTTCATGATCATAGCACTCAATGCCCATAGGCTTTTTACTTAAATTAAGGGTATGCAAGAGTGTTGGTGGGAGCGCCTTTACTGCAGGTGAGAAATATGATTCTTGCTTGCGATAAGTGCCACTTTTCAAATCTATGCCAACCATCAGAAAATAGTCGTGGGGGGAGAGGAGATGGGAAAGTGTAGGGAGATAGGCAACATGATCAGAATTCAAGGTCAAACATTGTAACACACGTCAGGATTTCATTGGTTGAAGGTCCACTTTTCTGCAATCTTTTAACGTTGTACTGTTTGTCTTTTTGATGTTTTTTTTTAGTTATTTCGTTTGCAGCAACTTGGGACAGCTTCCCGACGTGAAAGGCACTATATAAATGTAAATATATTGTTGTTATTCAGTATTTTGAATTTCACATCCCTTCCCCAGCTACTTATTTTCGTGCCTTGTTGGCTCAGCCTGGCTCGCCTCTGAGTCATAAATTTGTGGGTTCAAGCTCCACCTTGAGACTCTGAACTCATATAGTTTAAGTTGGCAGTCTAGTGCAGTACTGGGAGGGGTGTGCTATATTGTTGGAGGTTCTGTCCTTCAGGTGACATATTAAACCGAGTCCTATTTGTCTGTTCAAGTGGATATTAAAAATCCCTGGCCAACTATTCGGGACATGAAAATATTGGTGGTTCGCCTCGTCGATGTGTAATTTCACCCACAAAATAGACAGTCAATTCACTTTACAATATATTCTGTGAAGCGCTTTAAGACATCTCAATGATGTGATAAGGCCCTATATCAAATGCAAGGGTTATTATTGTGATTGAAGTCTTCTTACGAAGCAATAGTGAATGAGTAGGTACAAACGTGATGCCTTGTTCTTAGTTTAGCTCTCTTTGTCTGACATTGAATGCATGTATTGTGTTATTTCTCCAGGTCATAACCGACAAGGAACAAGGCATCAGATTCCAAATTAGTGGAAAGGGTGTGGATCAGGAACCAAAGGGCATTTTCAAAATCAGTGAAAACTCCGGAGACATCATCGTCACTCGCTCACTGGACCGCGAGCAAATAGACATGTATATTGTAAGTACTGCATGCGATTTATAATTTTTTTCATCATTTTTAAGCCAAGTATGACAATGGGCACTGCAATGCTAATTCTACCCCCTGCAAGGATTTAATAGGGAACGGTGAGATAATTGATGGTGACAGTGGAAATGACATTCAATGCTGAAGACCTCCCTTTTCAGGCACTACGAGTTCTATTTCATCAATTATCTCATCTCTTATCTCTCCTCTCAGCCTTTCCCGACCATCCTCCACACATCTTTAATTTGTCCCTCCATCGAAGCCATCCTGGCAATGTCCTATTTGCTCTCTGCTTCTCTTCATGTAAGCTCCATCTGATTGGTGCTGTCTTGACCTCATGCCATCCTATTTTTACTCCCAATTATGCAGCATCTTGCATTTATCTGCATCAAACTTCATTTGCTGTCAATCAACCCAGATCTGTACCCTGTCAAGCTCCCTTTAGAAGATCTTGGCTGCCTGCTCTGATTCCACAGTCCCCCCAACACCAAGCTTGGTGTCATCTGCAAATGATGTAATGATTAGCAAGCAGCAAGGGTGTATTAAAGTAAGGCTGATTTGTTTGAACAGTGAAATAAAAGTGAAGTGAAGCAGTGGAAATCGTAAAAAGTCAGTGCTTAACAGCATCACTGACAGGGCCATTGTGTGGATTGCTAACAGTGGAGTCTGTGAACCAGGCCTTTATTTTGTGTGTGTATGTGTGAGAGAGTGTTACATTTCCTTCTGATTTTTTCCGCATTAAGATCTTAATTCCAGGTAAATATTTTGCTGGCAGTGTTGAGGCCTATCAGATGTGTAAGAGCAATATCACACCGCGTTTTGCTCGTAATCCGTTTTTATCCAATACTGAGTATTCATGGGAAATTAAACCATATTGCATAAAAGTGATGCATTTAGGAGATACATAATCAAATCATTTCCTACAGCGTGTAATAGCAAACCTCTTCAGTCCACACTCCAATAAGACAGAGCAGTAGGTGGCCCTGCACCATGAGAACATACAAAATTGGTTTATTCACCTCAAGGATTTCACTCCCACAGAGCCATGCTCCAGAGGTTTCAGAAAATCAAGCTCCTTGTGCCCGCATTGTTACTGCAATAAGCTTTGCTTTTTAGTAATTTATGTTGTAATCCCTGCTTCCTGAAAGCTTACCTTGATCGAACCATTGACTAAGAGGGCAGCCGGGCAATCAATGAGTTGCTTTATGCTACTGGGAGGACGCTAGCTTTGATTTCAGCAGTACATTACATTATAGTACAGTAAGTACAGCGATTTGTGGGAAGTGTGCTCTGTCCTTCCCCCCACCTCCCTGCAATGCATCGCATCAGAGCTGTAACGTAGCCCCGCGCTGATTTTGGTGGTGATCAGGTGTTTGCCTTTTCGAACGTTAGCTAGGAAGTTGGTCGTGCCAGCAGTTGTAAATGGTCCATTAAAAATCCCTGGCTGTGCAGAGGAGCACAAGGGAATGCTGCCAGTGGAGCTCACACCTAAGCGCAGTGATGTATAAATATGCCACGGGCTATTGTACTGTTCACCATCCCCTTACAGGGACTGAGGCCTCAATACGCTTATCACTGGTTCACACACAATTTACACTTGACGCTGCGTGGGGAATTGCACTGATTCTCAACAAACATGCAAATAACATATTATGAGCATTACATTCATATCGCATTCTCTGAAACTTGCTTCCTTCTCAATGACCTTTTAGCATCAGTGCCAATTTTCAATTGAATGCGGTTGGTAGCACATTAGATTCCCCTTCCCATTACTCCCTCCCATGTTAAGGCACGGTGCCACACTGAGCAAACCTTTGCGAGCAGCACAATGTTAATCTCCAAATCCGAGGTTTAAATTCTCCAATTTCCAATTCTCTCCATTTATCTTGTTCCAACACCTGCTCACTGTGCTCCTGAGATGATGAAATGGTGAAATTTATTGGTGTGATGGACTTTTTAATGACTGCCATCAGTAAAAGCATCACGATTGGCAGATGGGATGTGCTCTTACAGGAGGACTAGTGGCTATATCTAGATTTCCTCCACCGGAATTAGGCAGATCAACAGTGATGGGCAATCCTGAGACACGAGTTGTTTGGGAAACTCAGAACTGCAATCATTGGGCATTTTCTCGCATAGGAAAATAGGAACAGGGGGAGGCCAATCAGCTCATCAAGCCTATTTCCCCCAGTTTAGTAATAATAATAATCCTTGCATTTGATGTAGTGCCTTATCATGACTTTGAGACTTCTCGAAGGTCTTCACTCTGGAACTCCATCCCACGGTCCCTTCGCCTCGCTTTCTCCCTTGCCTCCTTCAAGGCCGGTCTCAAGATTGTTCTCTTCGACTGTGCCTTTGGTCTCCCTCCCACCTCTTTGGCTTCCCTCACCCCTACACCACCCCACCTCCCCCATGCTCAGGCCCCAACAACTGACTGTTCAGCACTTTGAGACGTCCTCCAGATGTGAAAGGCGCTCTATAAATGTAATGTTGTTGTTGTTGTACACAGAATATACTGTAAAGTGAATTGACTGTATATTTAGTTTATTAGATCTTAGCAGGTATATTAATCCCAAAGCCCTGTCCTTTACTGCCTTCCCCCCACTCCCGTCACTCTCTCCCCCCCACGCCCCCCATGTCCACTCCCTTCTGGAGAAGCGTGTTGCACATCTGTGCGAAGACACATTTCCTGCCCTCAGTTCCGTTTTTAAGGCTCTGCTGCCTTTGTATTGCATCCCACTACCAGCTGATACCTCTCCAGTGATGCTAAACTGCCTTAAACTATGATTTTCAAGGCAATCTTTCAAATAAATAAGACAACATTTGTCAAAATAAATCAGCCCGGCTTCCAGCACACTGGAGCTGATGTGCATGACACTGTAGGTGCCCTACACAATGAAACAAGAAGTGGAGCTTCCACTCGATGAGCACAGGCAGAACGGGTCATTGAACTTTTTATGCAGATAGATATTTTTCTTGTTATGTGACTGTGGTTCACAAGGACTGCTGACTGTGTGGCATCAAGTGCCTGCAATACCAATAGAAAAGTGCTGCACGTTTCCAACGACATGTCCGTGCTTTGAAATCCTAGCGTAGACCTTGAAGGTGCCTACACCGACTGAGAGACGAAGGAAACAAAACGCCAGTCATTTTATGTCTCCGTTCATTGGCTGCTGCTGCAATTAGCGCCGTTATATTTTGGCTGCCGATGACAAAACTATCCATGTTTTTTCACCTTGAAATGCACATTAACTGAGAAGAGATCACTGTTTCTTGTAATTTAAGCAATCCCATGGAAATAAACACGAATTATTGAAAATATTACTTCTGCGTTGAGGAACCAGATTCGATAACGAAGAGCTTTGAACATTAATTTTAAAATCCAGAGATTTTAGAGGCAAGAGTCAACGTCTTTTGCCAAATACTGAGCAAAGAATGAATGAGAGCCTACAAATATTGTGGATGTAGATAGCTTAACTGGGTAAATGTATCAAACGAGAGACCAGCAGAGCTGTGAATTTTTAGTGAAGTAATGAATGAGCTCTTCGGTGCTTTGGAGAATCAAATGTTTTGATTAATCTTTCCTGAGGCTGATGCATTTACTGTCTGTTCTGGTTAATAAGTCCATTTAAATTCCACTTTTCATCAGGACTTTATTTCTTTGTCAGTGACCAAACGAGAACACATTACAATCAATAAACATTCAGGGTAGTAGTTACCGTGATTCGCTATCTGCTCTGAAACTCCACAGCATCCAACACTACTGACACAGGCCAACTGGAGAATTGTGGGTGAGAATGTCTTCTTTTTAACCTCTCAAAACTAGGTTTGAGCTCAACTCCCAACTGCGATGAGCACTTTTCTCTTTGGAAGTGTACTTGTTTCAATGACTTTCTTTTCGAAAGAAATGAAACTCTGAGGATACCACACGCGGACTTTCAATTTCTATTCTCAGATCTCCTCCACAGAGAGCTCACTGTTGTTCCTCAGAGATATTCATTCTAACACAGAGATTAATCCTAGTTACTTTCTTCCGCGCTGCCCACCCCCCACTCACTCTCCATCCACATGTCTTGGCAGCTAGTAACTGTACACAATAATTCAGTTGCAGCCTGACAGAGCACTGTATAACTTCATTACAATAGCTGGAGATTTGAAATCACCTCAGTGTAACAACATTGCTCCAAAATCCTGATTGCTTTGATTTTTGTCACCTCATAAGGATTGAGTAGCACAAAATCACCACGATCGCTTTGATTGAAGAAGTTCCCTTTGACCTTATCCTTTCAGAATACCCACCCAACAGTTTCTTTGTTCCCTGCATCGAGATGTTTTTCTTTAGAGTCCAGCATCCTGGCTTCCATCATCCTTCCTGATATCCTTTTCCAGCCATTAGTTACCCTCTGGGTAAAAAAAAATACTTCATGGTGTCTGCTCTGAAATTCTCCTTTCCTACCCTCAGCCTGTGTGCTCTTGTACTGCTGTCTCAGTGCATCCGAGAATAAAATAGTGTGCAGTGAGTCATCCAATGCCTCTCCTATCACATGGATAAGAACGAGGGCTGCTTAATGCACATTTCCGTGCTATGCATTTACCTATGTATCCAGGTGAGAAACGTGATCAGGACGGTGGAAACGACAGTGCCATATGGTCTGCTGTTCCCAAAGTGTGAACACGCTGTAATGAAGAGCACGAGGTGGAAAAGAGTTAAAGCAAACGCAGTTTTTCTTCCCGGAGAGTGAAATGTATAATCACACCTCGGAATGCAAGAACAAGCGGTAATGATTTATTTTGCAAGTCACAGTCGTCTATATCAGGAGGCAGGAAAGCAAAGGTGCTGAAAAAGGTGAGAGCATGATCATGGGACATCCAACAGGGCAATCATCACTAGGACAGTTTCACAACCTGAATTCAAGAAGTGTCCCAGCAGTGTCGTTCTTGCTCACCAGCAAATTGCTATTCAATAACTGACATGAAACATTCCTTGTAGAGGT